TCTCCAGGAATGTCTTTTTTATAATAATGATAAACAAATTCTTTGTTTTCCTAATCTCAAATCACTTAAGATTACTCGATGTTTATTATCTCAATCATTAATTCAAACATTATCTTTACTTATTCAATTGAAATTGGATCAACTTACATTAACATTAGACGTAGATATGGTAGAATTGATTAGAAATCCAAAGCAACGATGGAGGATCATTCCTCATACAAGTAATTAATTACTGTTATTTTAGATTATCTAAAACGAAATGAGACTAAAATATTGTCAAGAATAAAACGTTTTTTCAACAATCTACTGGATATTTCTAATAGGAAACTATCTCTTCATAGATTTTCGTTCAGTTGAAAATTCATAACAGACACAAAATTTTCTCAGAGTTTTTGCGTAACACGAATATTAATGATTGTTTTAATTTTCAATGGAAAAGTTATGCTATTTGACTGATTAGAAAGAAATTCCGTTTAGAAGAAATTGTCTAATTCTAAAAGAGAAAGTTTATACTCTAATTATATTTTCACTTCATAAGAATCGCGTTGAAACTTATTGGTCGAAAGTTTTTTTCGAAGCCTATAATTCATAATCGATTATTAACAATTTTAACCCATTCTTAAAGTTTCTGAAATATGCCGGCAAGTCGATTATCATTTCAGACAGATTTTTAGATAATTTCTAAGGAATGAAATTAGGAAAAGTGAGATAAACCGAAGAAATTCGAGAATTCTTTATTCGGAATTTTTTCATAGTCGGTTAAAGTTGATTGAAATAGTCGTCCGATATCGTGGTCATCGAAAAGCTATGACTTTAGTGGTTGAAAGGGAATTTGACGTACGATGAACTGTGAGTAATGTGGAGCCAAGTTGTGGTGCTTGCCTTGGATGTTTTTATCTCACACAGATAAGAAGAACGTCAGATATCTTGGCTCCGAATTTGTTTTACAACTGAACTCAAATAAAGCTCGATCGGCTCCTAAAATAAGATGAATTTTCTTCAATTTTCAGAGAGTCATTGTTGATAAAATAGCTCAACAATGTTATGCATGTAAATATGCAACATTTATATGGAGAACTAAAAATCTTTCTTATAATTCGTTATTGTGCCGTACACAAGTACAACTTACCAGGTTCGACGAAATGAAATCTTTCTAATGGGATTTTTGAGTGAGTCTTTGTGAGAGAAACATTCAATAACATAATGCAGATATAACATCTATCGATATGTTTTATCAGTTCTTTTATATCTATGTTTAACAATAGATAAATGGTAACGAGAGAATCTATCCAAATATTTCCTTCCGATTGCGACGATTTTGTTGCTTATAGATACTAGATAATGTTATAGTAAAAACTTCAGAAAGGATTTGAATTCTTATTGAGATTTGACGAAACTTTCGAATTTTGAATGTCTATTTTTCAGATATTTCTGTAGGACGGCAGGTTTCCAGAAAAATCATATATTTGAATTTTATTCTAAAAGAGTCCCCACTTCAACGATTGACATATGGGACCTTGAATAAAGAGTTTCACAACTTTTAGACTTCGGATTTTCCTAGATCAGAACTTTTCAAAATATTCTTATATGATTAATACTCTTGGAATAGTGTCCATTTTTTAACAAGATCAGAGTTCGGAGATACAAAGTCTAAAAATACTCAAACTCTTTATTCAAGGCAGTTTCAGGACAAAATTCGAAAAGAGAATTTTTCCGAAAATCTACGATTCTACAGAGGTCCCAGAAGATTCGATAGCTTCGCTAAATCTTAATAAGGACTCGCATCCTTTTAGAGTGTGTATAATCATACAATGTAGTATCTGTAGGTAAGATATAGCCATTGAAATCGGAAGGGGACATCTATGGAGATGCTCTCCTAAGGCGAAATTGATAATATCTTAAATCAATTTGATTTTATTGAATAAAGTTAAAACAAAAAAGTTGTGATAAAAAATATATTGTCTTAAATTCTTTTATATGGATTAATACGGTTTACTGAAACATTAGGAATAGTTTATAAGAGTTCTTAGGTTGTTATATTAATGATAGGATTCTATTTACTATTTGTTTTCTTTGGTATAAAATAGAAAAAGCAATAATTATGTTTAAAAAGCTCATACGTCAATTTTTTTCTGAAAAATGTCAATTAATCTTTCTTCAACTTGATATTGGCGATGATGATTTTCCTGTTAATATTCATCAATGTTTAACATCGTCTTCTAATCCTTGTTCAAGTTCAGTTTCTAATAAAACTCAATATTGTTGTTTGACGCTTCGTTATTTATATATTCGTCTTAACTATACATGTTTTCTTGAACATCTTATTGAATATATACCCAATATTGAACGATTATCAGTTATTTTTAAACAATCAATGAACATCGAACCTCGATCTAAGTCAGATATTGAAACATTAATAAAATCAAATGGAAATTGGTTTGAAAAGGTAAGATAAATGCATTATCATTAAGTTTTCATCTTTTGTTGAAATTCTTCTGAATAAAACAAACGTTTCAGACGATCTTTACATTGATATGTCGATTTTATCGATTATTCGATTATGAATTTTTTTCAGCATAAATTCTTCAACGAATTCGTTTAGAATGGGTCGCATTTATATATTATATGGCTCGAATCAACTCGTAAATGAGTATGGCTATTTCATATGATACTATTTTGATCTGATCGAAAAAACTTGAGGAGGATATCGAATAAATCGTCTACATATATATCCAATATGTAAAAAGAAAGAGTATTATCGGATATATATGAGTGAATCAAGAGAGAGAATATAACATCAGTACCCGGCAAAACAAAGAAAAATATCTCAAAAGGTTTTGCATGAGTGAAAGGAGGAAGAGATGATATAGAAGAAAGAATTATCTATGAGTTTAGAGGTAATAATATAGCTTATCGTATATAAGGTGTATTCGATTCGTATACGTTGACCTTCTTTTTTAGCTTTAGTTTAAACATATTCTTGATTGTTTTTCTCTTTGCTGATCGTATATATAAATGATTGTTCTTTGTCTAGACTGCCTTTGAATATGGATAGATTGAATCTATTGTCTTATTAGAGGGTGGCACAAAAAAAAAAAAGCTTCCCCCCCGTTTTTGGAAGAAAATGCGAAAAATAGGAAATATTCCTGTTGTACGGATATTTTAATAGTAGTAGCAAACTAAGAATATTTTTAAATCATTTCTATGCATAGTTAAAGTGTGAGCGTCGAGGAACATAGCTTGAAAATTTAAGGTGATAATAATGTATCGTTATTGAATTATTGAATTTTTACAAAACATAGAAGAGCAAAAATTGATTTCGTTCCAGCATAAATTTCATATTTAATGAGTTTATTCTTCCTGTTCAGTTGCAGTGGAATGTTTTGAAAATAAAACAAAGTCTATCTCGTAGGTTTTTCCTAGCTCTATCTAGTAGAAAAATAATTGAATAAAAAAGTGAATTTTAGAGGGAAAGAAATAATCTTCTAATAGGGGATAAGTTTTTTTGGGACACCCTCTATATACTTGAAAGATTTATTCTTGAAAATGATATAGGAATTTTTATTTGAGACTTTTGAAAATTTTTCCTTATCCTGAAAAGTAACCCTCTTCTGAAGAGATTGAACCTATCTAATCAAATTCATTATCAAAAAAAATTAAAGACAATTGTTAATGGTTTGGTCAGTCAGATGCTTTCATTCATTTGAAATAAACTTTAATTAACAGTTTTTCTTCATCTTTGGAAGTATTTTCTAAACAAATCTGAATATAGCGATTTTATTTTCAACAATAAAACAGAGAAGACGAGATTAAGTTTTTGCACGAGATAGCGTGTGTTAAGAATGTGCCGATCTGGCTAAAAATCTGCAACTGCCGGAATAGTCTGAAAATGTCTTTCAAATTGATTGTCATCGCTCTACTGAAATAGTATTATTATTACCAGTTCATAAAATTGACTTAATCATAAAGTGTTAGATTTGCAAATAGTTAAATTCTCTTCTAAAATGCCTACAGTTCTCCGATGCTTCTCGAAAAAAGATCTATCGCTATCGGTCAAACACTACTGCGATGGTAATTTAATATATTTTTTGGATCGGGCTATGATTGTGGCATCGGTGGCATTATGGATGTCTCTATGATATCTACTAGAAAATAGAAAGAAAAGAAATGAAATTCGAAATCTCATTTCGATAATAAAAAGTATTTGGTTTGATTAAAATGAATTTGTAAATATCGGTTGTTGAGAAAATTAATTTCTAATACGATTAATTTATTCGAAGAAGAAATTTTCTTATTTGTTGTTTTTTTTGTACTAACTCTAGGTACCAAAACTTAACGATTTTACTTTAAAAGTTTTTGTTTCTAATGATTTGGAATTTGCTTATTTAAAATGGATTCTTAATAATTTAAATCATGTCCGAAAATTTAAACTTCATCTTCAAATTGATAGAATGCATTCGCGCTCAGCTACAACGATTAACGAATATGTTGATGCAAATTTTATTCGTCAACATTGTTTACCTGATATAATTATCAATCTAACAGATTTTCACTTTTATATCGTTTCCG